AATACATCATGCACTCATCTTATTTTCACATGTCTGGGACTTTCTTAAGATACGTATATGCAACCTAAAGATAGATTATAGTGGAAAATTGAAGGTAAGAGAGATGGGTCACTGAAACAGAGGAGAAAAGAAAGGTATTCCACCAGGTCAGAACACAATGTGGAGGAGCAAGTGATTTTGCTTACAATACAAGCCAAAACAAATTCTCCTTACTTGAGAGAAGAGATGGTATCAGCAACTAAGTATGTTAGATTAATTACCAAAATATAGGCCATACAGCTCAAGTTCCCAGAGTCCTATGCTGCTTTATCACACAACAGTTATTCAACCAATCCATGAACAACCAATGTTGATAACACTCAAGTAGAAATATTAAGATTTTACCCTCAAACCCCTCTTCTGCTCAGCAATAATAAAACCTAGCTTCCATTTACTAACCACTCTTTGTCAGGCATAATCCAAGCCTCAGAATGCATCACTGGATGGGATCCTCACAGCAAGCCCATGCAGTAGGTGCCATTATTCATCTCCATATTACAAATGAAGAAACTGAGATCACTTCAAGTAGCAACTCTGGATATACAGGACAGGAGGGAGAGTGCACAGGACAGACCTGCGTTTGGGCAAAAAGGAGCATCTGCCTTGTACAGGACCCAGCCGAGTCGCCAGGGTTGAACATTACCTAGGGGTCAGGTGCGAAATCTCTAAATGATGATAAAGGATGATTTTGTCCAGCTTTATCCTCGGTGTGTCTGTCTCCTCTGGCAACATGTGGCAGTGGTAGATGGTCAATAGTGATATTGAGGTTGGGATCCTGGCCAGCACTCTTGTTTCTTTCCATCAAAAATATGGCCAACATCTGGCAGAATCAGCAAACGTCAAGATGAACGGGTCTCCACCAATTTATGTTACAAACTGGATTGTCAAAATTGGTCAGATTCCATTACAGAATTACAGTTCAGCTACACTGAATACTAAATATATATTAGCCATTAGCTGGACTTTGAAATATCTTTAATCTGTGGAAATTTCTATTCTGGTGGTAGTTGCATGAGATTTGATCTTTATCACACTTCCTGGCAGCAGTAAAATTCCATTTCCATCAACTGTTTCCTCTCAGGAAAGAAGTCTCTCAGGAAATACTCAAAACATTGTTCTCCACAAAGTTCTCCAATATGAATCATTTTCAACTGCCAGGAAGACACTCCTTCCCCCACTGTTTTGTATCATAATATACTTTCCCTAAAATGACAGTTTTTGGGCAAGACATACTTATTTGAAAAACAGAAAGAGTAAATCCTTCGTTCTCCCCCATCAATGGCTTTCCTCAAGCAATTCACTCTGCCTCGACTATCTTCTCCCCTTAGAGCTGTTTATTCAAGTCCTATCAACTTATCCCTTCATTCAACAAGTATTTCCTACGCACCTACTAGATTTCTGGTCCTGTAATAGGTAGTAAGAGTTGAAATAAGTGTATTAGGTATTAACCAAGCAGAGATTAGGGGATTATAATTGTAGGCAGGTGGACCATTAAGTGGCATGCTGAGAATTTCCTTCAAGGAAGTTTCCCAGGAGAGAAAATATTTACCTATTTAAAAAATTTTAATTTAACTTGTTTATTTATTGAGGTAACATTGGTTTACAACACTATATAGTTTTAGGAGTACAGGTTCACACCTCCAGAAGAGGAAACATTTAAAGGTGACCCTTTAAGGATGAGTAGGAGGAATTGAACATAATAGGATGTTTCCATAACTTAGCTATTGTAAACAGTGCTGCACCGAACACAGGCTTATTTGTGTTTTTATATTCTTTAAGTTATGAGGCTAAGAGGAATGTCTCAATTTGAGGGGGCACAACTGAGCCGCTGTCTCAGAAACTCATCCTAGTATCCGTGTTGAAGTTATGCTTCCAAAGGCTGCAGCTAACCAGTAACTCAGGACAGCAAGGACAGGTCTCTATTGATGGCTGACTATGGACAACCCAAAGGTTTTTCTGAACCTTCCTTAGATTGCAGAGCAGTCTAGAAAAAGCTTTTGCCCAAGCTATTCACTCTTTTCAGCAGGGGGTCACACTTGTAGCATGGACTAATGGCATGCTCACCTTCCCCATCTCCAACCCTACTGTCTCACATAGGTGCTTCCCATTAATAAAATTCTTACCAGTATAATCATTTCTGTTTCTCAGAGGACACGGACAAATACAGCATTCTAGACAGAGGACCCAGCATGAGTCATGAAAAATCATGAGTTGCTCTCAGCATCCCATGGAGTGGTATGTGCCTGGAGATCACTGTGGAGGTGTGGATAGAGAGAGAGAAACTGGGCCAAATCAGAGGTCTTATATAATCTGATAAAAAAAAAAAATACTTGGACCCGATCCTCTGAGAAACAAGAAAGCACCAGAAAGTGTTAAGCAGGGAAAGGGCATGTGTTTTCAAAAGACTGTTCTGCTGGCAGAATGGAGGACAGACTGGAGGAAGCAGTAAGTGGCAGCAACTCTGTCTGCTTCCGTCTTCTCTGCTAGGTTCTGAGGTCCTACAGAATGGAATCAGTTTTTGTTTCATTTTAATCTGTATGGCCCTATAATGCTTAGAACAGTGTTTAACACAAAATATCTACTCAAAAGATGACATCAACTCTACCAAGCTGGGCCTCACCTCACTGCCCAACATTTTAATTAAAGCCCCCCAAAAGTTTAATGACATTAAAAAACTCTCTGTGTAGCCAATCTAGAAAGGGCAAGTTACATGTACGAAAGGTAGATGTTACTCCCAAAAACTAGTTAAGTAGAAGTTACTCCCACAAACTAGTTATTACAGCTCTCTTTGAGGCTTGGACATCTCATCACATTTGTTTTTCCTAACTGTGGGGACAAAGGTAGTCATTAGTCATTTAGTTTTTTAATGTTTACAAGGTCAGTAGACTTTTAGAGAGCCAGAACAGGCTCAAGGTCCAGACGCCTTATTATGCAGAGTTAACAAAAATCAAAATTGGGTTCTGGATGCTGGTACAATATCCAATGATGATCTTTGGTAAAACATATTCCTAAGGCCTATTTTTTTTTTTTTCATCAGAGAGTGGAAATAAGATCTACCCAATTGATAAGGTAAAAGTTAAATGAGATATGGTCAATGTGCTCTGAAAACATTAAGATGCAAAACACTAATACTATCATAAAAAATCTGTTAAGAGGGTAGATCTCAAACACACACACACATACACACACACACACAAACATGAAGGTGGGAGGGAACTTTAGGAAGTGACGCATGTGTGTTACCCTGCTGTGGTGATGACTTTCAAGGAGGTACGCATACATTCAAACCCATCAGATTGTATACAATAAATATGTGCAATATTTGGTATAACAATCAGACCTAAATAAAAATGTTTTTAAAAAAGACTATGCTACTGGTTTGAACCCAAAGTTATATCAATAAAAAATAGTTTAATTTTACAAAGACTAGTGACTAACATTTCCAATGAGCAACACCACCAATGAATGGTGTAATATCCAAAAATTCTCAAAATACAATTGATTTCCCTTTACTTTCATCTGTCAAATGGTACTTTTAGTTGGAAGGGTACTATTGTGAAATAATAATGAGAATCAATTCCCAGAAGGCCACGGATTGCTCGAGCTCAAGCCAACAGCCATTCTGAGGTTCTTTGATGATGGTCTGATGTCCTTTCTCAGACCAAAATTTCTTTCTCATTGCTATCTCCCTGACTTGACTGAAGAAACACAGAAGCACTTGGGCCCTACTCGTGACAACCAAAATAACTTTACAGAAATAAGCAATCATTGCCTCCCAACAGCCAGAAGTGGTCTGTGTCCATTAGGGAGAGTCTCAATGACTTGGAAACTGCCAGATGTGCAAGAGTTGAGGGAATAAAGCCTAGGGTCAATGTCAACTGGCCCTAGTTCTCCAGGCTGAGACAACTACTTCCATAGGTGCCATTCACAGGTATGCATACTCATTCCAGAGCCCAAAGCATTCAGCAGTACTCTTTTAAATCTTCCCAAATTGCACACTGATTTAGTAAATTGGCTGCTTTGCCTTCGAAAGGAAAGGGGTAAAAAGTATAAGAAACGGGCCTCCCTGGTGCTGCAGGCAGTTAAGCGCCACACTGTGAAGCTGTCCGCAGCCTCCGCAGTGCGGGTTCGATCCCGGCCAGCAGGGGAGAAACCCACATGGCGTGGCAGACCTCTCCTGTCTTGCCCGCTGCTCCCCTCAGCAGTGTATTTCGTCAGTCTGCCTGTTCTGTTCCCTGCTCTGTCTCTGGTAAATCCTCTCACCCTCCCACACATCTGGCCTGTACCCTGGTTCTTGTATAAATAAATCTTTTTTTTTAAAAAAAAAAAGTATAAGTAACTATTTTTTATAAAAAATAGTTATTGGTGTTGCTTTAGGATTATTTTGGAAAAAAAAATTAAACCAACTATAGATATCATTGTCTCACTTGGCAGTTTCCAAATCCAAACTAATTATTTCCAGTTATGAAGTGCATTCAATGGCAGGAAATCAATGATGATAGTAATGGATACCATGAGTTTGAACATATTTTATATGCGAGGCACTTCAAATATATTATCTGTATTTCACCTAACAACCGTGTTTAAATCCTACATCTCAATTTAAAAGAAATGATCTCAGAGACAAATGTGCCTTCAAATAACTTTAATGGCAGAGCTGCGAGTCAAACCAAGATATTTTAAAACCTCTCCCTCCCCTACGTGCCTGCGCCTCTACACCCACCCCCTTCGCCCCCACCCCATTTGCAGAGAAACGAAATACAGTGCACCTAAGTTCTGACCCTGCCATTTACTAGCTGCCAGGCTTCAGTAAACAAATTACTCAATGGACCTCAGTTTCCCATTAAATAAGATTAAATCAATGGACACACTGCTTAACACACAGACACTATAGTGTCCTTTCCCGCACTCTCTTTTGATAATCTAAAGACCAACTAAAGATGAAGAAAAGCAATCTACCTGTACTGAATGATAGGCAAAGTTAGCACTTCCCTTAATAAGGATGGAATTGGTTCTAGTGACTTACAAAAGTCATGAACATCGGCTAAGGAAATGTCACTAACTTTGTGATTTTTATCCATAAAATGTAAGAGAATAGTATATAATGATCACATGGGATTTAGCCTAGGAAGGCAAGATTGATTTAACATTCATTCATAAGTCAAACAATATCACTCACAATACCAACAGCATGAGGAAGAAGATCCATATAATTTATATAGATGCCAAGTAAGTGTGATGTTCATTCAACAGTCATTCACAATTTTTAAAATGCCCTGTTAACTGAAAATAGAAGGAAACTTCCTCACTCTGATAAAAAGAATCTATGGCAGAAAAAAAAAAAACTTACACCTAACTCATACTTCATGGTGAAAGACTGAATGATTTCTCCTAAGCTAATGGAAGTCCTACTAATACAATAAGGTACAAAAAAGAATTAAAATAGAGATAAAACTGGAGAGGAGAAATAAAATTTTGTTTATTCACAAGAGAATATAAACATCTAAATAGAAGACCCAAGAAGACATACCAAAAAATATATTACATCTAATAAATGATATCAGCAGGTTGGAAAATATAAGCTCATGATATAAAAATCAATTGTCTTTATATACAGCAATGAACAACCGGAAATTTTTAAATGTGCTATTTGCAACAGCACCAGTAAATATGCAATACTCAGGCACCAATCCAAAAAATTGTGATTTATATGTTGAAAATTATGAGAAACTCTGATGACAGAAAATCAAAGAAAACTTTAACTAGAGAGATATACTGTATTCATGAATCAGAGGACTCAATATCATCAGTACTGCAGTTCTCACCCAAATTAATCTACAGATTCAATTCAATGCAATCAAGTTTCTTTTTTAATTTTTTTATTGAAATACTATTTCTTTACATTATTGTTTGTGTTTTTAAAGAGGTATAGGCTCTCCCCCCCTTTCAGGTGTTGTTACTACACCACACCCACCACCAAAGCAGCCACAGGCCATCCCATAGTCTACCACACTCCCTCCCCACTTTGTTCTTCCCCTCTTCTCTCCCCTCTCCCACTGTTAGACTCGGTTGTACAGTCAGATTTCTAGGGTTTGTTGTTAGTTTGGCTTTAGCTGACCCTTTGTTTTCTCTAAATTCCACATATAAGCAACACCATCTGGTAGTTGTCTTTCTCCTTCTGACATTTCTTTTAGCATCATCCCCCTCCAGTTTCATCCATGTTGTTGCAAATGAGAAATTCACAAGGTAACTATAAAAGGTAAATGGAAAAATAATCTAGGATAACCAAAATAATTTTGAAAATCAAAAATCTGGAGGACTCAAACCAGTGATTTCAAAACTCATATATAGTTACACTATTCAATATAGTGTGATGTTAGCAAAAGGATCAATGGAACCGAATAGACAGTTCAGAAATAGATGTGTGTGTGTGTGTATGTGTGTGTAAACTGATTTCTGACAAAGATGCCAGGTTAATTTGATAGACAAAGGCTAGTCTTTTAGTCTTTCAACATGTAATACTAGAACAATGGGACCTACTTACATTTAAGAAAACAAAAAAAATGAACGTCAACCCAAACCTCACTCTTTACATACATATAACTTAAAATATATCATTAATGGAAATGTAAACCTAAAAGCTTTATAGCTAAACTAGATAAAAATAAGAAGTAAATCTGCATGGTCTTAGGTCTAGTAATTATTTCTTATATAGGATGGAAGCAGCATGAAATACAAAAATTAAAATTGAGGAAATGTATTTCATGAAAACTTTAAACTTTTATTCTTTGAAAGAAAGAAATGAAAATAGGAAAGAAAAAGGCAAACCACAAACTGGAAAACACATTTGCAAAGCACATATGTGATAAAGGGCTGTTAATTACAACATATGAAGAGAACCCAAAACTGTTTTTTTTAACTGCCCAATCAAAAATCATTGACACTTGCTCAAAATTATTAGTCATCAAAAAAATACCGAACAAAATGATGATGAGATATCATTAACAACTTACTAAAATGGCTAAGATTTACAAAGACAGACAATGTTGGCAGGGACATGGGGCAACCGAAGCCTTATATATTGCTTGGTAGGAATCAAAAGTAGTATAAGTCACTTTTATAAACAGTATGACAAGTTCTTAAAAAGTTAAACACACACTTACCATAAAAACCAGCCATTTTATTCCTTGGTATCTACCTGAGATAAATAAAGACATATGTCCACACAAAAACCTGACTGCAATGGTTTAGAGCAACTTTATTCATAAGCACCAAGAACTTGAAACTATGCAAATGCCCATCAACTGTAGTACATTCATAGAGTGGAATTCAAGGCAGCAAACTATGAATAACTGCAATGACATAGATCTATTCAGATGCATTGTGCTAAGTGAAACAAGCCAGATTCAAAAAGTTGCATATTTTCATCATCTTTATATGAAATTCTGGAAATAGCAAAAACTACAGAGACAAATCAGAGACCACTGGTTGCTAGGAATTGATTACAAAGGAACATTTTTGGTAACAGAAAATTCTACTATCTTTATTTCAATGGGGGCTACACATTATATAATTTTGTCAAAATTCATAGACTTGTATACATCTAAAAAGGATGAATCACAGTTTAGATAAATTATACCTCAGTAAACCTGAAAAAAATGCATACTTTAGAGATGGCAAACTATTTCAAGTAGAGATTTATAATAAATGAAAACTTAAATTGCTGAGTTTTGATTTAAGGTTAAGATCCAATTACAGGACAGGAATACAGGGAAGACAAAGTTCATGAAATTTTTGTTTGTCTTTCACTTCTCGTTGTATTAATTGTATAAAAATTGGTTCTGCGAAGAAGATGACAAATGTATAATATAGGACCAAAATAAAACATCTACTTATTTGAAGCAGATCAAATTAAAATGATAAATGGCCACTAACTGTCCTTACCAATTGCTTGGGTTTGTCGGTGACTCATTCAAAGAGTTGCCTAATGAGACAAGAGTCTGTTCAAGTACTAATTCTCCACATTTTACAAGTGTTCTGATTTATAAGAGCAGGGAAAAAAGCATTTTCATTCTACGCATTTTCTTTTTCTTGATTAGAGTTCTGAAGAGACAGAGTAGAAGCTTATCTTGACATCAGAGGCTACAGGATGGGAGAAGGTGAAGAGCTGCCCACTATCCCCCAAGGATCTTTCTCCCTGTATGAAGGATATTCAGTGATAGTTACAGGCAAGTGTATCTATTATGGATAAGCCAGTGTACATGGTCCTAGCTAAGAAGGCAGGTATGGTCAAAAGAGGTGGCAGGAGTCTTTGAAGTAGCATTCCCAGAGTCCCAAAAGAGATCTAAGTTGAAAAAAACTATAGAAGACCTGTCTTCATTCATTCATTAATCCATTCATTCAAATATTTCTTAACTGTACCTTCTGGGTCAGGTTCTGTTTTAAGGCCAAGGACACACAGAGATTAACTTCTGGTCTAGAATACTTTATAATGTTCTGGTGAGCAGCCAACAGGCCAGAGTGCAGAAATGAAAGTAAGAGTTGTGATTTACTCCTCCTGTTATTCCATTTTCCATCCAGCTCTCAATTCCCAGCAGTTCACCAGTCATTCCAGGTACCAGTGTGAGTAAGCATGATGTAACCAGGAAAATGCATGAGGTTCTGGACGCAGACAGCCTGATGGAAATGGTATGTAGTGAGACTGGAGAGGTAGGCCTGAAACCAAAACGTTGAGGGCTTTGTTAAGTTGTGCCAAAGAGTTAGATGTGAGTTTTGGGGGTAGACAATGGGAGGCCTAGTAACAGGTGAGGAACAAATCAAGATTTGCATTGGGAAAAGATAATTCTAAACATCAGAGTGAGGCAGAAAGCAGATGAGGAAATTGCTCTCTCTCTTTTGGGGGTAGTGAAAAGACTGGTGGTGGACTGGTATTAACTAGAGCAGCAGAAAGAGCTTCTCCATGAACTAATTCAGTCATTACAGAAGAAATGACCATTCTCCTGCCCATTGCATGTCTCTAGCTAGCAGTTGTGATTGTTTTTCTCCCCTCTACAGTATCAGCAGCTCTCTAAGGACAGGAATGGACACACAGACACACACCTTGATTAATACTAGACATTTGGTAAATGTGTTCACTGAATAAATGAACAAATAAATATATGAATGAATTGATAGTTTGGGCTCAGGAAATCAATTGAGAGTTGTTGCAAAATGAGGTAGCTGAAAAAAATACAAGTGAAACTTGTTTTAAACAAAGAGAAAATATTTGTCCAATAAAAAATGTCAGTAACTAAGGCAGCTAAAAGTTGACAGCAGATTTTTTATAAAGGCCCAGAGAAAGGAGAACTCTGTCAAAACTAAGCTGCTGACATCAGGCAATGCGGTAAGATCAGGCCCTGTAGTATACACAGACCCCTCCAAATTGGAGGGATGGAATGTCAGATGCTTGAAAGCAGAGTCAGAAGCAAGGTCTAGGAAGAAATCCAAGCAGGAAAGAGTTCATAATTGGAAAAGGAGAGTGAGAAGCAACAAGCAGAGGTCCAGTCAGGTAAGCAGTAAGCATTAGGGTACTAGGCAAAAAAGAAAGCAAACAGAGCATGCTAACAGGGAAATCTGGTAAAAACAAAACAAAACAAAACAAACAAACAAAAAAAAACAATCAATCAGCATCAACAAAAGACAGCAAAGTCCCAAACACAGGCATGGGTCCAGGCAGAGTTCAAGTTCCGAGAGGCCTGACTAAAAAGAGAAATCATATTCTTGCCCTTGGAGGAACTGGAGTATCAATCACTGCCCCAGTGGAGAAACAGACCAGGGCCCGGTTTCTGACATGAAGTACAAAGCCTTAATCACAAGGAACAAACAAGCAAGAGCAGCCATATAAAAACCCTAGCACACAAAGTCAGAATACACTGATAGCCTGAGGCTACCCAACTCAGGACAAGCTGGGGTCCAAAGTCTATTTCACAGCCAACCTATCCCAACTCAGTCACTTAAATAAGAGCTGTAAAGACATGGAAGCCAGTAGGCCCTCACAACCCCCCAATATCAGAGAGCATGAGTCAACACCGTAAGCACACAAGAGCTGCT